AGGGCTGCCTTAGCAGAGATGGGCTCACAGGTTGCTGTTGCCGACCCTCCCGTGACTGGGGCAGAGACCAAGAGATGGGTAGTTGAGCATACACTCTCTCAGTCTTGGAGGATTGGTCGCGCTGTGGCTAAGGCCAGGAAGCTCAACCGCGTGGACAACGTTGCTGAGATGATCATTGAAGAGTGCGGTGGTTCAACTGGAGCCAAGGTTCTGTTCAAAGGCAAGATCGTTGGCGTGGAGAGAGTATTAAGAAAGGGACATGTCTATGGCGAATGCATAATCGAAGGTGCAGATGTGTCTGGTTCAGATGAACCCGGCCATCAGAGATCCCAGCAGTATAAAGGGTTTGTTAAGATTCCCTTCAAGAACGAGAACATCGCCGCAGTCAAGACCGCCTCAGCTACGTCAACAGAGGAAGCAGGCAAAGAGAGGCAGGAAGATGTGCTTGCCCTGGTGCCGGATCTCATCGCCGTTATCGACGCTCAAAACGGCGAAGCAATCGGAACGCCCGAGTACAGATATGGACTGCTCGTCATTGTGTTGGGAATTGCCGCCAGTGACAAGTGGACTGGGTCTGCTAGGGGTCTTGAAATCGGAGGTCCCGAGGCGTTCGGCTTTTCTCACTTGAAGTATGAGCCTTTGGGCACCTTCGTTAAGCCTCGGAGCGTGATTGACGAATTTGACACCAAGACAAAGGAGGGTTGCATGTGCGGCAAATGCAAGGATCTGGGCTGGTAGACGATGGAACTTGCAAAGCAACAGCCATAGCCTCACTGCGGAGGTGGGAATCTTCCCCAGCTTGTTTGTTCAACTTCTAGAAACAGGAAATACAACCGATAACACACCCGAGTTTCTAAACTGACTTGTGCAAACGGGGCTTACTCGGCGAAGCTGACATGCTTCTGACATTCAGCTGAGCGATTCAGCTGGGTGTGGACCGGGAAGGCACACCTAACAGCTGCTCAAACGCCTGCCGAACTTCCAAACAAACGAATACCCGCCCTGGGGAAACAGTTCCAAAACGTTCACTAGATCGGACAAACTGTCTGGCAAACATGAATCAACAGCCCTGCCATACTTCATCGCCAAGAGCTATCATCCCTGACCTCGGGACCGACATTTTCAGCCGCTGTCAACGGGCGCATTTGCCGTGGCGATGAACCGAGTACGATTGCCGTGGGCCGGACACGCCGCTCCGTCTATAGGGCCAACAGAGCCGCGCATATCACGAGCGACACTGCAACTCCAAGCCAACCGCTCGACATCGGATCGTGAAGTCGCACCCGACGCGGTTTCGCAATGCAATATCAAACTCAGCAGCATCGTTCGTCCATTCTCATCTTTTCTTCCAAACTTCCACAATGGCATTCTCGAAGCACGGAATCATGCAAGTTGCCGCTGTCGGAGCAGCTGGAAACAAAGCCTGCCCTCCCTCCGCTTTGGTAACAGATCCGGACTATGGGGTGGCGGACGCCAAGCCCATCCACCACAGACCAAAGTATCCTGACTCGGTGAGGCGGTGGGAGAGATACAACAGGAAAGGACAGCGAAGTCTAAAGAGACAGAAAAAAATCTTTTGGTTTCTGATTTGAAACGGGTGGCTTCACGAATGAGATATTTGGATGGAAACGCCGTTCGACCCGTTGTTAGAGTTTCTCCTGCAGACTTGGCCTGACAGTGCTAAGATCTCCGTCCAAGCGGGGGATGTCTCGATCAATGCGACGATAGATCGAAAATCTCCCGAACGATTGCCGCCTACGACGCTATCTAGATTGTCAATAGAATCATCATAGATATCAATCAAAATGTAGGAAAGAAGCATAGAAGAAAGGTTGTGATTCCTACGACACGCGTTGTTGCGGGGTAGTCGAGGCGCGAGATATTCATCCGCTGTTCTCTCCGTGCGCCATGATGCCCAATGATTGCCTCATCATGACCCTGCAGGACATCCTGAGGAGAGCTCGGAGAAACCTTACTCGAACTTGAGACCAAATTTAGCTTTGACGTCTAGTCACGTGGTCGCAGAGACACCCATTATCCTATTCATACATGCCATGATCCGGACGAAATTTTAGGAGGTCTGGTGCAGACGGCTTCTCTCCATCGGACTTCACTTCACCTCACCAAAACTCTCCCTCAGCGACCGAAGGCCGGCAGCAATGTGGGCTGAATTGTGGTCTTTCCATGGCTTCGCAGCGGTCTTTCGCTGGCTGCTTATGCCAAATACCCATCTGCCATCTCTATCTCACGCAGCGTCCGGAGCAGCCCACCAGGCGCAGGCTTGGGTGAGCGGCATAGTCGACTTCAACAAGAACGCGGCAGAGATTCTCGACGATGACGGCTGGGATCCGTTACAATATGTCGACCCGCTCATCGGCTCACGCAATGGAGGAAATGTTTTCGTCGGCGCGACCTTGCCGTATGGTATGGCAAAGGCCTCACCGGATACAAACAGCAGTTCTAATCAAGGCGGATTCACTCTTGACGGCAACCCTATCACCGGCTTCTCTAGCATGCACGACTCTGGTACCGGCGGCTCACCATCTCTGGGAAACTTCCCGCTGTTCGCCTACACGACATGTCCCAGCGGCGTCATCAACTTTTGCACGTTCCCCAAGAAGTCGAGGGCCAAGTACGGATACTTCCACCAGAAAGATGTCCAAGCGAAGCCCGGGTTGATGAACATCACACTGAAGGACGGCATTCAGGTCGAGATGACGACAACGCATCGCACTTCACTCTTCAGATTCACCTTCCCGCAACAAGGACAGCCTCTCATTCTTCAAGACCTTTCCGATCTCTCAGATTCGAGGCAAGACAATGCCACGATCAAGGTTGATGCCCGCTCTGGACGCATTACAGGAACCGCTCGCTTCAATCCTAGCTTCGGTGTTGGCTCATATGTCCTGCACTTCTGTACCGACTTCCAGGGTGCCGAAATCCTCGACAATGGAGTCTTCGTCGACAGCCGTGCTAGCGCGGATGTGAAGAACATGACGATTGCACGATCCATCAATGGGTACCCCATTCCGGGAGGAGCTTTCGTTCGATTCAAGTCGGCAGAGCAACCCATCACCGCCCGTGTGGCGACGAGCTTTCACAGCACCGAGCGGGCTTGCGCTCATGCAACGGCTGAGATCCCCGACTACAACGTTGAGCGGGTGTACAAAGAAGCCAAGAGAGCTTGGAAGAAGAAACTTAGCCCCATCAAGGTTTCTACCGACCGTGTAGACGAGAAGTTTGCGCGAAACTTCTACAGCGGCATTTACAGGACCATGGTCAACCCTCAGAACTACACCGGAGAGAACCCCCTGTGGAGGAGCAGGGAGCCCTACTGGGACTCCTTCTACTGCCTTTGGGACTCCTTCCGCTCACAGATTCCATTTTTGATCATCTTGGATCCCACTGCCGTGACTGAGATGGTGAGATCCCTGATCGATACTTATGTCCACGTTGGTTGGCTGCCAGACTGCCGGATGAGTCTGTGCAAGGGTCTCACCCAGGGTGGATCAAACGCAGACAACGTTCTAGCAGATGCCTATGTCAAAGGCATCAATGATGGAATTGACTGGGATCTCGGCTATGAAGCAATGGTAAAGGACGCTGAAGAGGAGCCATATGATTGGAGTGTCCATGGTCGCGGTGGCTTGGCCAGCTGGAACAGACTCGGCTACATCCCAGTCCAGGACTTCGATGTCAAGGGATTTGGAACCCTCACCCGGAGCATTTCTAGAACGCTGGAGTACAGCTACAACGATTTCAGCATTGCCCAGGTGGCGTACGGGCTGGGCAAGGACGACGACAAGCAGAAGTATCTGGACTCTAGTCACAACTGGCGATACCTGTACAAGCAGGACCAGAAGTCATCATTCTTTAACGGCACGGACACTGGATTCAGAGGCTTCTTCCAGCCCAAGTTCCTGAACCAGACCTGGGCTTACCAGAACCCGCTGAACTGCAGTAACCTCGACGGGGCCGGTTCTTGTTCTCTGCAGAACAATGGACCGGAAACCTATGAGAGCAGTGCTTGGGAGTACGGATTGTAAGTGACCCCGAATTCATGGGATTTGGCTAGTTACATGAGTTGACTGACCATCTTCGATAGCTTTGTACCGCACGACCAGGCAACCTTGATCAACACATATGGTGGTCCGGATGCCTTCGTCAAGAGACTTGACTTCTTGCATGATCAGAACATCACCTACATCGGCAACGAGCCTTCGTTCCTTACGGTCTTCCAGTACCACTATGCCGGGCGCCCTGCTCTCTCCGCCAGACGTGCGCACTTCTACGTCCCATCCTTCTTCTCAACTGCGCCCGACGGTCTCCCTGGCAACGATGACAGCGGAGCTATGGGCTCTTTCGTGGCCTTCACTATGATGGGACTCTTCCCGAACCCTGGCCAAGACGTCTACCTCATCACCCCGCCCTTCTTTGAGAGTGTGGAGATCAAGCACCCCCAGACAGGCAAGACAGCCAAGATCCGCAACGTCAATTTCGATCCCACGTACCGGAGGATCTACATTCAAAGCGCCACCTTGAATGGAGAGCCGTACAGAAAGAATTGGCTGAACCACACCTTCTTTACGGAGGGCATGGAGTTGGTGTTGACATTGGGTCGACGTGAAAGTGACTGGGGTACGAGGATTCATGATCTGCCACCCAGCTTGGGCGAGTACAAGGGTTTCAATAGAACATTCCCCTCGGCGATAGTGTCAAACAGAACTACTAGACGATCAGAGGCTCTGTACGAGGGAGAATTCGAGAACGAAGGCGCGAACTTTGGCGGTATATAGAGGCAGCCACTGGAAAAGGCTCGTTTTGTATTATAACTCTGTATTCAAGATCCATGTTTGGTATAGTGTGCAGTTCGCATCGTTCTGTTCACAATGTAGATATCATAGCGGTGGAGATAGGATTTGACTGTGCATTCGACATGCCACGATTCCTATTTTCTAGCTGACGAGCCAAATTAGAACATGTCAACTGGCGTCTTCATGCTATTGGTTCCAATGTAATGCCTGTTCGGAGTAAACCTCTTTCTTGTTGGTGGGAATATCATCAAACAGAGACGCCTTAATCAGAGCCTTGTCCGGGATGGAAGGCGAAGTGGTTTTGATGGGGCTTCGCAGGTGGTTAGTACCTCAATAGCATCTAGCCAGGCGAGTTAATTCTCACCTTCCGCAGTTCTTGCAAAAGAATCGCTGCATGGGCAGCTCAATTAGCAGATAACTCTTTCTCACATTGAGGTTTACTCACGTGCACCGTGTTTCCGGAATTGGTGTTGTGGTCAAGGTACTCTGACAGAGTCTTCTTTTCATCCTCAATTTCCCATTGGCCGTCATCAATGAAAAGGTTCATGGAAAATGCTGTCACTATTAGTTGACGCAATTAATCAGCTGTCAAATAAGCTTACGGCCACCCGCACGCTTGCAGTTCGAGCTGTGTGAAGAGGGATGATGTCAGTCTCTCCACTTTCTCCGCGCAGGATCATATTGCTTGACGCACCAATGGCAAACAACGACTTGCTCCGGCTTCTTCTTCAACACCACCTTGATGGAACCACAGTTGCAGTGACCAATGTAGTTATCCATACTGACTTAGTTGATTGAGATGTGTGCGTGTAGTTGTTGTGGACTTTTCGGCTTCCCTGGATTTCCTTCTTCGCCGAGTGTTGCTGTTACCGACGGGTTTGGGGGACCGCGCACTGGCTTAAATCTGCCAGGCGGGTAAACCTTCCAACATTCCGATGACGAATCAGATTCCTGAGTCAGTTATTACGGAATCAACATGACGAGCAGTTGGTTTTAACTCCGGCCTAGTTCAGCGAAACTTGTTTCCACAGACACAAATGGCATGCGGGGGAAGAGGGGAAAGACACATCGTGGCAGGGGGAATGTGGGCATCATCGCGACGTGATTAGTGCGCTGGCATGGTCTGATCTTCTCCACCACGGGCGCTAGGGCGGAACGCGGGCGGAATAGATGCGGAAACTATCGTTAAGGGTCTAATCGGTATGATTTTCATGTTTTGGAGACTCTGCTAAGGGCTACTTCGCTAGCGCTATATATAGCGTATATATCGTACTAGGTTACTATTAGCTTAGATTATTACTATAATATAAATAGTAAGTATTTTACTAACCCCTTAATACTTCTAAGAAACTAAGATTATTTAAAAATAGCTCTAGCTTACTTAAATATATTATTTTTAATATTAAAAACCTCTATTTTTTATTATACTAATTATCTACTTTATAATTTACTTTATATTTAAAATAGTAGCTAATAGATAATACTTTAATAAAACCCTATTTAGTATATAAATAGAAGAAGTAATCTTAGATAAAATTAAAGTTATTATATTATTAAGTAATTCTAAAGAGGACTAAAACCTCTTATTAATACTACCTCTACTCTTAATAAGTTAACTAATAGTACTTAAGCTTTACTAAAAGCTTATAGTATAATAGAAGTTATTTTAGTTTATTCTTAATACTAAGATTAAAAACCTATTAAGTAATAATAATAAGATATATATATTAAGCTATATACTTACCTCTATTATATCTATTTTATAGAAAGAGTTCCTTAAAAACCTCTTTATAGTTAAAAACTTATTAATAAAGTTCTAAAATATTAATACTTTATACTATAAAGTTAAAATACTAAGAGACCTATTTAGTATTAGTTATAATAACTATATAAATATAATATTAATATTAGAAGAGAGATAGTTATAATAGTATTAAGTTAACCTTAAGTATAAGTAAGTAGAAAACTATAGCTTCCCTAAGATAAAGTTATTAATAATATATTTATAACTCTCTAAGACTACTATAAGTTAAAATATTGCTAAACTTAATCCTAAAAGTTAGTTAGTATACTAATTAAGATTTTTTAAAGAGGAAGTAAGATCTCTAATAAAGTAGTTAGCTTTATTACTATTTAATATAAATAGCTTACCTCTCTTATAAGCTATAATAATATTAAGAATAGCTAATCTTATAGTAGTATAAATACTAACTATTACTTTAACTTAAAAGTATAAATATATAATATAATAATAAGATCTTAATTAAATTAATACTACTAATATAGCTATCTTAGAGGTAGTATTTCTAAGGGAAAATTTAGTAGCCCTACTACTAATATATTAAAATAAGCACCTTTATATTAAGATAATAGAAACCTAAAGTTATAAGTTATAGAGGATAAATATTAATAAGCTAGCGCTATATATAGTAGGGGTAGATAATATAAAGCTAGTAGTAGCTAACGCTTAGTAGCTATTTAAAGTTAAAGCTAAATTAAAAGGCTTTACTTTTATATTAAACCTCTTTTTAATAGTACTAAGTAAAATAGTTAAGTTTCTAGTATTAAAAGAGAAGGAGTTAAAATAAGAGTTTTTACTAATTAATAGTATATAAATATTAATATTACTATTATTATTATTATAATATTAATATAGTTATAGAGGGTTAATATAGTTATAATAAGTAGTTAATAAGTTAAAAAAATAAAGCTTAATAAGTAAACTAGAGAAGTAATAAGAAAGTTTTTTTTTAGCTTTAATTAGAGTAGTATTTTTTAAACAGATTACTACTTAGATTAATATAATATAAATTTAGCTTATTAATTACTAAAAACCTATCCTTATAAAATATTAATAGTAAAACTCTTACTATAATATAGTAATATTAAACTATACCTTAAACTTTAGTTATTAATTTACTTATATTACTACTTTCACCTTAGCCTTCTTAAGTATATTAATTTTTTATAGTATTAACTTTTTTAGTACCTCCTCTTTTTTTACTAGAAAATTCTATAATACTATTACTATATATATTAACTTTACTTAGATATTAAAGTTATATTTATATATTATACCCCTTATAATCTTAAACTTCCTCTTTAATAACCTAAAAATATACTTAATAATACTATAAAGCTTTATATAGCTAAAATTATATAACTCCTTTTTTATCTATAGCTACTACTAGAGATTAAGGTAGTTATATAAATAATACTACTTATTAATAAATAGAGTAATAACCCTTAGATACCTCTTACTAAAGCTTATATTACTTAAGTAAAATCTACTTAATAGTAAAATAAATAACCTTACTAAAGTATATAAAAGTAGGGATTTATTATTTATACTACTCTCTATATTAATAAATATATATATAAAGGTATAGTTAAATTTTATTACTATAAAGATATTCTATAAGAAATTCCTTTTTTTATTAAAAAACTAATATTACTAACTCTAAGGTATATAAATAAATAGAAAAGTATTATTAATTACTCTTATATAGCTATTAAATGCTTAATTTTTTAGCTCTAACTTAATTTCTACTAAGATATTATCTTCTATTAATTAAATTACTACTTCTTTATATAGCTTTATAAATATATTAAATATAATATAGAAAACACTTAATATTATACTCTAAGTAACTTTAAAGTAGTAAAAAGTATTCCTCTAAAGCTCTCTAAAGCTTATAATATATAAAAAGATTATTAACTTATACTTTACGCTCTAAAACTTTAAGTCTTTAATACTATAAAGTTAAAGCTATAAAGTTAATATAAAGAAAGTTAACTTTAATATATAGAAAATATTAGTAAATTCTATATTTAACCTTATTAATAGCTCCTCTATAATCTAAATTACTACTAAAAAGCTACCTAAATAGATTAATATTTTATTAAAAATAGTAGAAGTCTTATTATTAAAGTTATTATTATTAAAGTTATTATTAATATACTTTTTAAAAATAATTAATAAAACTATAGTAAACTACTATTCCTTATTATTATTATTAAATATTTACTTAAAAACGTTAAAGATATCTATATTAATAATTACTTCTTTTAATAGTTAAGTTAATAAATAGTATACCTTATTAATATATTAATACACTACTATATAAATATCTTAAGCTAAAAGAAGCTTTTAACTAAGCTCTCTCTAGCTATATATAGTATCACTATATTATTAAAAACTAATACTTTTATATAATAATAGTCCTAGTATTATTAGATTTATACTTTAGAATCCTTAATAACTAAGCCTCTCTAAGTAAACTTATTATTAATCTTATTACTTAGTAGCTAAATTTTAGTTTAATATAATAGCTTAGAGGATTAATAACCTTAGAAACCTTTATTAAGCTTAGTTTTAACTTATATAGACCTAATATAGTAAAGTAGCCTCAAAAATACTATTTTTTGTTATTTTATACTAACTATAGCAGTGGTAAGCCAGGGTCAGGAATCATACCGATCACACCCTAAACATTCCGTAATGCAGTCTAAGGTCTTATGTATTTGTAGTGTCGTTATCTAATGTGCTAAGCATCGGCCTGATTCTTTCACGTCCAATCACTCCACTTGGTTCCCTGCCAGTAGACGTTCCCTTCGTGTTCAAACTGGGGTCCTTCGGCGTCGACAATGTGACCCAGTTCACAACGATCAAACTCAACACGCGCCTGCTGAACGTAAAATTCGTCGAACCTCGGCGACAAGGCTTCTCGAAGGCTAGCGACGTTACCCTGGGGGTGAAGTGCTCTCCACGGCTGGGAGCATGTTGAACCCTTGCACGACTTGAGAACGAAGAGAAGAGAATCAAGCCTTGGGATGAGCTTCTTGAGAGGGTATCCTAGCACCGTGGCACGGGCTGCAAGGGCAGCTTCATCGTCGTGCAAGAGGTTATGCACTTGACCAGGATCGGTCTGCGAAGGAGATGGTCAGCCTTCTTCCAAAGGACATGAATAGGTGTCGAACTTACAGTCATATCATAGAGCTCGTGCTCATTGGTGCACCATACAGAATAGTAGAGATTGTAACCCTTGCCAACAACACGCAAAGCCTTGTAGGTGTTGTTGAAGATCCGCTTGGTGTCATCGCCGTTGAAACCGAACTTGCTCTCGGTGATGGCCCATCCCCAGTACTCAACGTTAACGTGCTCGCGGGTCAAGGGAGACCCTGCAAGCTCCTTCGTCGACAATGGGATGGGAGCTCCGTCAAAGTCTGCGCGGAGAGGCGCGCCTGCCAGTGACAAGATTGTGGGTACGAGATCGACATGAGCTGTGACGGCTTCCGTGACACCTCCCTTTGGCACTCCGGGACCACGAATAATCAGCGGAATATTGATGTCCGTCTCATAACCACATTCCTTTCCGGGCTGCAGCCGGTGCTGGCTAATGTGGTATCCGTTGTCAGTTGTGTAAAAGATGTAGGTATTGTCCAGCAAGCCGTGCTTTTCGAGCTTGTCGATGAGTCCATCAACAAGCTCGTCCACAGCCTGGAGCGCACGAAGACGACCTCGGTAGTGGTCATCGTTGTATTCCACATTCTCATCACTCAGCTTAGGCTGGCGACGAATCCAATCAGCGCCGGACGGCTTGTCCGGGTTGAAGTTTTCCGTACGCGGCACCTTGGCGTCGGGGAAAAGCTTCTCGTGTCTCTTGGCAGCCTTTGGAATACTGGTCCTGAACTTGTCGTCGGAAACGGGAACGTCGTCGTCCGGTCCCTTTACCGGAAGAAGGACGCTAGAGTTCACGTTGCTGTGTGGGGCGATGGGA